GTTCCTTATAATGATGGAGAAATTGGTATCATTATGTTCCTTATATTTATAAGGATTTTAATCATCAGGATGTATTAAGGTATTTAATACATTTATTTTATTGATTTCTTAATCATTTTATTTCATTTTTTGGCTATTACCCATTATTATATATTTTTTTGTATTTTTATCCTTTTTATAATTTAAGCAATTACATAGATCCTATCAGCAATATTGTTCTAATTATGTCACTACTATTGCTATTGAGCTGTACAATCATGTTATACCATCTAATTGTCTATTATTATATCATGAAGCACATAATATATTATAAATATTTTTATTACTTTAATTGACAATCAGGTTTATATGAATGTATAAATATTTTATATTTCTTATTTCCACATCTGGTATATACATTATACATTGAAATTAATGTTTGTTTTTTGTATAGTATACAGATACATATGTTTATTTAAGTCTTTTTTATGTAATTAGAATGTAATATACAATTATAGTTTTTATTAACAATTAAAAGCATGCATATATAAGAAACATGGAAGCAATGGTTCACATCCCGTCTCTGAAGAAGTAGGGCATCCTCCTCCGAAACGCGTAAGACACACTGAATCATCAGGACTCAGATCCAGCATACAAAGCATACACCAGCAGAGGTCCATATCTACACAGGACCATTAGCGCACTCGTAGAGCCGAGCTGTCTGCAGTGCATGTCCCCCTGAGTGAGATCCTTGTCGGGACGCAAACACAGAATCACGCCGTCCTTACCAGTGGCTGGATTTCAAGCGCAAGTCTGTCAAGGCAATCCACATCAATCCCAGCCAGATTCGAAGGTCCTTGCATATTACTGAACCTCATAACATAGAAACATAGAATGTGACGGCAGATAAGAACCATTCGGCCCATCTAGTCTGCCCAATTTTCTAAATTCTTTCATTAGTCCGTGGCCTTATCTTATAGTTAGGATAGTCTTATGCCTATCCCACGCATGCTTAAACTCCTTTACTGTGTTAACCTCTACCACTTCAGCTGGAAGGCTATTCCATGCATCCACTACCCTCTCAGTAAAGTAATACTTCCTGATATTATTTTTAAACCTTTGCCCCCTCTAATTTAAGACTATGTCCTCTTGTTGTGGTAGTTTTTCTTCTTTTAAATATAGTCTCCTCATTTACTGTGTTGATTCCCTTTATGTATTTAAATGTTTCTATCATATCCCCCCTGTCTCGTCTTTCCTCCAAGCTATACATGTTAAGATCCTTTAACCTTTCCTGGTAAGTTGTATCATGCAATCCATGAACCAGTTTAGTAGCCCTTCTCTGAACTCTATCTAAGGTATCAATATCCTTCTGAAGATGTGGTCTCCAGTACTGTGTACAATACTCCAAGTGAGGTCTCACCAGTGTTCTGTACAATGGCATGAGCACTTCCCTCTTTCTACTGATAACAACTGTATGAGCTATTCCTGGTAACAACTGTATGAACTATTCCTGATCTATATTTTTAATTTTTTTAATCAATAAACTGGTTTTTGTAATTTACATCCAGTTCGTACCACTGCTTTCCATTTTGGTGATACACTGTTTGTATTACTATAGCAAACAGTCTTCTATACTGTATTGCTACATTACATATACTTTTTTTTATCCTGATTGTATCTTTGTATTATACAAAGTATAGCATTTGGTGCAAGTATTAACTACCCTACTTTGGATCAGGGATAGGGATATTTGCACTGCACATATTACTTGCTGCATAATATCATTCATTACTCCTAATCCTATTTTTATCTTTGTTTTTATCTGTTACAATTTTATCCTTTTTTATTAGCGTTATTTTTATCCTTTTATTCCTTCCTTTTTATTCCTAATATTATATTTGTATTTGCTTATATTTTTTCTTTTCTATTTCCATTTTTTCATTTCTTAAAGGCACAGTACATCTTATATTTTATATTTATATTGCACTTTCTATTACCATCATATTTTAGCCATAATCACAGGTAAGCTCCTGGTTTTTGCACACTATTCCAGAGTGTTCTCTCTGCCGCTTTTATTTATAGGTTTTAGTGAATCCTTATGTACTTCTAGTTTGAGCGACTTTGTGTTAGTCAGACTCCCTCTTTCCTGTGTATTACACTAGGTAAACCAGAACCATTTTTATTCGTTTTACTGAATAAACCTCAGATCATTTATAAAAAAACACAAAATTTAAAATCAATTTTAGCTCCTAGTGCTCTACCTCATATTAAACCCTCCAAGGACATAACAATTCCAGGATTCCAGGTAGTAACGTTAGTAACTTCCTTAAAGAAAAACCTAAAGGTTTCTTTAAATGCGGACACTGTAGTACGTGCAAATTTCAAAAACAGAAAAACAACAGAGTTTAAATGTACTGCCACTAAACAAGTTTTTAAAATAAAAATTTTTTATAAATTGCCAGACAAAAATGTGATCTATTTACTTGAATGTAAATGTGGCATACAATATGTGGGTCGCACAATAAGAAAATTACATGTAAGAATCTTGGAACATTTTAATGGTATTAAAAAAGGGAACATAACACATAGTGTCCCCAAACATTGTATAAATTGTACTTATTTTAACTTCCAGGATTTTAAATGTATAGGGATAGATGCAATAACCCCACATTGGAGAGAGGGGAAAAAGCACTAGCTATGAAAGAAACTGAGTGGATTCACAAACTTAAAACTACCTCCCCAGGAGGTTTAAATGTAGATTTGGATCTGTTAGTTTTTATGGACTGAATTTTATGTTCTTAATTCTTATCTTCTTTCATTTCAGCTTTTATATTTGAGTAGAATTTTTATTATCCCCTTTTTATATTTTTTATATATTTTTGATGTATTTTTATATCTGTGGGTGAGCCCACTGGTGCCCTCGCTGTGTCCTTCAGCCTAATTATAATAATTACTGTGAATAATTTTTATGATTGATTTCTCTACAGTTTGTTCTATGTTGATATTGAAAATGATATGCATATGATACTATAAAAAATATCCTCTTATATCCTTGTATTTTAAAATATAATTTTTAAATACATGTTTTAATATATGTTTTAAATGTCATTCATTAAAAAAAAATTTTGCAGTGTACTTTTTAAATAGTAGTCTAATGGAAGTATTGAAATTGGCATAAAATGAAATCATTGAAATTGCATTAAATTGTTAACTTGTTACATTTGAATATATGCTTTTGAGCGCCTGTGCACTATACTCCGTAAGACCTGGTGGTCCAATACGGAAGTGTGTCCTCTGGCGTAAATGATCAATAAAGTTATTTGCTTTCCAGGCTGGATGTGCGCGCATGCGCGGTGACGTGTATGGGAACGTCTGCCGCAATGCACATGCGCGCACTAATGAAAGCCGCACGAATTTGGGATTTTTAAACAGCCGGAAGAACAATGGACATACAGCTCTTGATAAAGTCCATAGGACGAAACGAGTCGAGCGGAAACGAAGCTGCCAGCATCCATACAGAGATTTTCTGGATCATAAGTAGCTCAACTTTGACAGATTTACTGTCTTCATATTCCATCTGGGAGAAGACCATCTATCATCTGGAGACTTTGAATTCAGGCCTACATTTAATGGAAACTTAGCCCAAGAGGGGCTGACAAGCTTTCTAGCACAACTAAGATATATGTCTTTTTTGTGCCACTACATTTGTGAGTGTACTAATTTGTATCTATTTTTTTATATGTTTTATCTTTTTATCCCTTTACATGGTTATACCTGCCTACACGCATGGTAATTATACTCACACGTTTGTGATTGTGGCACCCTCATTGATATATGTTTTTTTAACTATACATCTATTTAGATTTGCATAATGCACACTGAAGCAGGTCAAGCAGAGTTTTATTCAAAGAGGTCAGTTAATTTTGTATATACAACTCTTCCAAGTATCTTGGAGGCAAACAGTAGTAGTGAGATAAGTTGGTAGTTGGGTGGGGAGTTTGAAGAATAGTAGTCAATTTGGGATAACAACACATGAGATGAATTTGAGATGTGCTAAAGACAACAAACTAGGCAACAGCTTGCACTGTTGATTGTCACGCATAAAGGGGGAATTAACTCAGGATCAAAATATAATTTTCTATTTTTCAAACACTGGTAAGACAATATCTTGAATATGCTGTGCACTTTTGGGCAGTTGTTCTGAAGAAGGATATTATAGTACTAGAAAATGTGGCTATACAATTAATAAAAGGAATTGAAGATTTATTATAAAGAAGTGTAATTATATTTAGTCTAGAGAAACAGCATCTTATAATGGGATATGATAGCATTATAAAAATATATTTGGGCCAGTACAAACCATTACCTGTAAATCTATTCATAAAACAGAACTATATAAAGGACATAAGGTCAACCATATAGACTGGAATAGAAGACGATTTAGTCAAAGGCAAATTAAAAGGTTCTTTACAGAAGTATAAGGATATGTAATTCTCTGCGTGAATAGGTGGTTTTATCAATACCTATACAGATGTCTAAACAGCAAGTGGATGAAAAACATTATATAGGGATAAAATATATATTAATTTTCTATTTGAGTTGTGCAGTGGTATTACAAGATTTCACTATGTTCAAATATGTGTCATAGGAAAGACAGTTGATATGATTAAATAACATTTGAAAAATGCACAATTTTTATAGTAAAAGGTAAACATGCTTAGTAACTTTAGGTCATATGAAAACAATACGAGCTAAGCATACACATTGATGCAACATAAGATAACTGAGCTTATGAGAAAGTTGCCGGGGGGGAGGAGCTTGACTGCCATGCGGAGAAGTCGCATGCAAATGGAGCTCGCGCTAAATGGCTGATTATAAGCCTCTCAGGTGGCAACCCAAATGAGCTAACTGGGTTCCCCACTTACCCACCCCCACAGAACCATCAGTGGCACCAGACTGGGGCACCATGGACTCTCCGAATGCGATAGCCGAGGCAGGTCCGTCTTTCAGCCTAGCAGGTGATGCGGGGCGTGAGACGCGGTCGGTCACCCAGTCCCGAAATCCTGCAGACGCAGACCATCCCCCCCTTTGGACCATCGGGGGTCATCACGGTCCACCACGGCACCTGTACAAGCCTGTACACACAGGACCTGCTGGATGGATGCAAGCGGGAGGAAGCAACAACACTTTGCATACATAAAATGGCGGCACTCCATACCACAAAGCCTCATGCAGACAATGCTGCCTCGCAGACCAGAGCAGCAGGCAGCTAACGGGCTGGGACTCTGTGCAGAGACAGAGTGACGGAAGCTGAAAAGGATGATGGCAACAAACTCACAGCGGCAAGCAGGGCGGAGTGCCTCAGGACAAGCGGCAGTGGGAAACATTACTCACCCCCTCCAGCACCAAGGCGCCAGCACAAAGAACGCAGCGGCTGTTGCATAACAGTGAAGCATACTGCCCCGGCCCCCTCCCAGCCTCGACTCAGGACTGAACGAGACACGAGAAGTGGTGAGGATTTGCATGGCATGGACTAACCATGGGACTAAACCTACCAGGAGAGCTCTAATCGCTCCTTACCCAGTCGTAACCTTTCTGCAACACATCTCCTCTGCTCACACCACCAGAGGTTACCTGCAGTGAAGCTAATCCTGCCTAACAATGCCGTGGCTTCACATAAAGCTAGCATTCCAGACTTAAACATATCTGATTAAGATGCTGTACCATTTTTGTTTGTCAGTTTGGTTTAAGCTTGCAAAACACTTACACACTCAACCACAGTGCACTTAGTTAGCATAACGTAGGATCTGCGATCTAACCTTATAAGTACTGTATATGTTTTAATCCTTAGTTCTCCTAATCTTAAAAGCCTAGTATACAACTCACTTTAGCATGATCATCCATATGTCGGTATAATCCACTAAGACGACTCACTACAAGAAATTTAGACATGTTGGATAAGCCTGTGACTCAGCTACTTAATTTACTAAATTTAAAAATGTGTGCAGTAATTGTATATGCCATGTACCTGTAAAATCTTTACTATTCTTGATACCGCGGCTGCGGCATTGAAAAAGCATGTGAAAACTAATTGCACCACAAAAATAAAGAATTTTAAAAAATATATATCTACCTCTCAATCGAAGTATACCTATAAAAAAAAAAAAAAGTTATAACACATGCAAACATAAACAAATTCATATCTTTACCTACTTATGTATTACAATACAATGGGATATATCTAGCTTTAAAATATATTATTCATTAATATATTTTCATTAGTCATTTATCACACCATAGAACTAAAAATATATACAAATATAATAACATACCAATTATTAATTCAAAAATAAAATATTTACAAATTTGTAAATTTTAAAAAAATAATCACTTTTAAAAATAGCTTACGTAAAAATCATTATTAAGCCCATAAGTGTATTTAGTTCTAAAATATATTCAATTTCTACCTTACCAATAAAATTATTAAAATTCCCTCCTCTCCACATTCCAAAAATCCTGTTTACTCATTAAAAAGTGTAATTGTTGTATGTGTGACTTTTTTTTACTTGTACATTTCTCATATTGCAGACAACCCTATGTATAGAAAAAGGTTTATTCTGTAACTTTTTTGTAAAATTGGTAATAAAATGACAAGAAAGGTGCCTTGACCTGACGATAAGCAAGTAGTAATGCTAAATTACAAGCTTGGTAAGCAAGAGTTGAAGAAAGACCACTGGTAACAACATTAATATGCTTTCTCTGCCCTTAAAAGAATAAAAAAAAAAAAAGAAAACTGAGTATATTAGAGATAAAAAAAAAAAAAAAACAAGTGTAAGCATGATGATGTCCATTAATAAAATGTAGATGTTAAACTCAGGCAGAATGGCTGTACATTATTATTATTATTATATTTATATAGCGCCAAAAAATTCAGTAGCATTTTACAATTGGTGGACCAACAAACATGTAATTGTAACCAGACAAGTTTGCACAGGATCAGAGGGGTTGAGGGCCCTGCTCAATGAGCTTATAGGCTAGAGGGAGTGGGTTAAAGTGACACAATGGGTAAGGGAAGTATTAGGGAAGTAGACTGGTAGAATAGTAGTTACTAAAGACAGTGTGTTTTTTTGTTTTGTTTTTAAATGACATGGTAGTCCTCGATCAGCCATCAACAGATATTGGGAATATTGAGAAACTTGCAGGGTGATCGTTGGAGGTGTCAACAGAACAGAAGCATGGTAAGATTTCCAACCAGCTCCAGGGCATTAGGTAGACTAATATTCCTGGACCAAGAACTTGTGATTTCCTCCAGGCCAAGTCCATCCCAATTGGGAGATACCAGAAGACTCTAACAATCTTCCTCCTGCGTGCATGATGTTTCAGGGTTTGATCCCTTGTGGCCTTCTAACTAGGAGTGCTAGTACGAGAGTGGGCTCCCCCACTCCTTGCTTCTATCTCCTTCGACCATCCTCCTGAGGCAGGAAAAGTGATGTAGTTACCTTTGTCTCCAATAGTGCAAAGGAGCTTTCGAAGATGACATCTAGCTTCAACAGGTAGCTTTTGATGGAGTAATGCTGGGTTTACAGGTGAAGTGATTAACATTCATTATATTGTTACAATGGCACCCATAAAGGGTAGAGATATATTAGGCAGCAAGTGAACAGTCAGTTATTGAATTTCATGTGTTGGAAGCAGGAACAATGGAAAAGCAAACTGATCTGAGTGAATTTAACAAATAGTGATGGAAGATGACTGGGTCAGAGAATCTCCAAAACAGCTTGTGGGGTGTTCCTGTTATTCAGTGGTTAGTATCAAAAGTGGTGCAAGGAAGGACAACCAGTGAATCAAAGTAAGTCATGGACATCCAAGGATCATTGATGCACATGGAGAGTGAAGGCTAGTCCATCTGATCTGGTCACACATAACAGCTTCTGTAGCTCTAATTGATGAAAAACATAATGCTGGCCATCTTAGAAAGATGTCAGAACACACAGTGCATTACAATTTGTTACATATGGGGCTACGTGGCTGCAGACTGGTCAGCCCATACTGACACCTGCCCATTGCCAAAAGCACCTTCAATTGGAACGTGACTGTGAGAACTAGACAATGGAGTAATGGAAGAAGGTTGCCGGATCTCACAAATCATGTTTTGTTTTAGACCAGGGGCGTGTGCATCATTTATCTGGGAAGAGATTGCAGCAAGATGCACTAAAGGAAGGGGGAAGGCCAGCGGAGGCAGTGTTATGCTCTGGGCAATGTTCTGCTGGGAAACCTTAGGTCCTGATATTCATGTGGATGTTACTTGTACCACCTCAAAACCACCTCAAAATACATTTTTGCATACCATGTACAGTCCTTCAATGGTGTTCCCTGATGGCATTGGCCTGTTTTAGCAGGATAATGCACTCTGACACACTGGAAACATTGTTTAGGAATGGTTTGAAGAACATGACAAAGAGGTCAAGGTGTTGCCTTGGCCCCTAAATTCCCATGATTTCAATCTGTGTGATGTGCTAGAACAGCAAATGTGATCCATGGAGGCCCCACCTTGGAACTTGCAGGACATGTTAATGTCTTGGTTCCAGATACCACAGGACCCATTCAGAGATCTTGTGAAGTTCATGCCGCAATGCATCAGGACAGTTTTGGCTGCACAAGGGGACCTACATGATATTAAGCAGTTGAGTTTAATTTTATAGCTGATCAGTGTATGTTTGTGTGTTTAAATGCAGTGTTTAAATGTATCAAGTAGGGATGTGCATGAGGAAAATTTTCGGTTAGGCATTTTTCGGTTCGGGACTTCGGCAATTCAGAACTTCGGGACTTCAGCACTTTGGACTTATCTTACAGCCTCTTAGTAGATAACTCCCTAATTCTCACATTATTAGGGAGTTTTCTACCAAAAGGCTGAAAGACCTAAATTGGTCTTTCAGCTACATTTACTAATACTGGTCCCCCCTCCTTATTTTTAGGGTGAGGGGGTAGGTAGGGGTTATTTTTTTTGGGATGGGGGTGACTAGTGGTTTGAGGACCCCTAGTCACCTGGGGGGGGGTATATTTTTATTTAGGACCCACACCCATCGCTTTTAGGACCGGGGGGAGGACAATAGGTGTCCCCCCCTTATTGGTATTTAGGGCCCCCACCTACCGCTCAGGTGTGAGGGCCGGAAAATAGGTTCCCCCCCTTATTCTTTACTTAGTATTAGTAAATTTGGCTGAAAGACCAATTTAGGTCTTTCAGCCTTTTAGTAAATAGCTCCCTAAAACCATGGGAAACGGTGGGTAGTTATCTACTTATTCATTCCTGTCATTCCATTGACAGGCTAAGTAACTTACATTTTATATGAATGTATGTTACTTGATTGTTGTAAGTGTTGCAAATGCTTACAGCTGAATCCTGGCTATGTTTGTATACTTTTTATTTAAACTTGTATACAGTGTAACATTCTTCATTCTTCCACTGGGTAGGTATGTTAGTACTTGAGCAATTTCGGCATTTCGGAACTTCGGCTATTCGGCATTTTGGACATTCGGATGTATCCGAATTTCCAGAAATTCGTCCGAATTACCATTCGGAACGAAACGAATTGCACATGTCTAGTCTCAAGTATCATTTACAGCAAACAGCTCAGTCTCCTGTTCTCTTGTACTATATGTCTCTACATTGTTCTTGCTTACTCTCTTTTCTACTTCTGTCACTGTCCTCTGCTACTTAGATCTGGGCTACAGTTTACATAACCTAAAATACAGTTTTGTTGGTTTCCATATTATATCTCATAATAAAATTAATACATGTATTGTTCCCTAATTGGTTGACACCTGACATCTGTGTATTTTACATGAGATCAGCCACAAATAAGGTGTTTTCATTTAAAGTTTCTTTAATTGACTTAATTGCAGCATGCTTTAGGTGACACCTAATGATAGTCTTAGTTACCAGAAACCATTAATAACTCAGCTGTTTAACCATGAATTTACATAACACTTACATGATTAGTTTTAAATGGGTGCAATATTACAGTAATTTAAAAATGAACCTTAAAAGACTGTAAGCCAAAACATAAACAAATATGCATGTTTTAAAGGAAGGCTGTCATAACCAACCTCACACTCTGCTCTGACACTGCCATGTCCTCGGACGGGTGCATCAAAAACATCTGTAACTACCACCTCCAGACCATCCATGCTTTGTCCACAGTAATCTTAGATTTGCCCTGCTTGGGCATCTTCCCCAAGAAAGGCAAACCTCCTATGCCTTATTGCCAGCATG